CTACATTACTCTTTAGGGTTGCATAGTATTCCGTTGTGTGTATGTACTAAAGTGTGTTTATTCATTCCTCATTTGAAATGTTCTTGTTGATGACGAATGGGATGCCTTCCTTTTCAATGTATCATTCATGGCATAGTAGACCAGATGATTGTCCGATTCAAAATGGCCAATTCGAGTGAAATGGTGTCACACTGTGGTTTTGATTTGCATCTTTTTGATGGCTAATGATGCTGAGAATCTTTTCATGTGTTTTGTGGTCATTTGAATGTCCTCTTTGGTGAAATGTTTATTCAAGTCCTTTGCTCATTTTATGACTGAGTTATTTGTCTTTTTGTTGTTAAGTTGCTGAAGTTTCATATATTATTTTGTTAGTAGATTCTTGTTGGATATATGATTTCCAAAGATATTCTCCCAGTTGGTAGCTTGTCTTCTCAATTTTTTGTTAAAGCATTTTGATGAAGAAAAGTTTTTAATTTTTATGAAGTCCCATTTATTTATTTTGTCTTTTGCTATTTTAGCTTTTGCTATTATATTAGGTAATCTGTTGTTGAAAGCTAGTCTTGACAGTGTTGCCCCTGCTTGTTCTAAGAATTTTATGGTTTTAGTTTTCATATTTAGTTCCTAAATCCATTTTGAATTTGTTTTTGTATATGTGAGGAATGGATCCTGTTTCTTCCTTTCTTTTCTTTTTTTTTTTTTTTTTTAATATGTGGTAATCAACTTTTCCAGCATCATTTTTTGAAGATACTCTTCTTTCCCCATTGAATGGACATAGCACTTTTGTGAAAAATGAGTTGACCATAAGTCTCTGGATTTATTTCTGGATTCTCAATTCTATTCCATTCACCTATGGGTCTGTTGTTACACCCGTAGCAGGCTGTTCTGATGACTGTAGCTGTATAACCAAAGCCTAACCAGACCCACTGCCATTGTGTTGATTCCAACTGTATAGTATGTTTTAAACTCAGGACGTGTGAGCCCTCCTGTTTTGTTCTTCTCTTTCAACATAATTTTAGCTATTCAGAGCCTCTTGCCTTTCCAAGAAGAAAGTTGAGGATTAGTTTTTTTATTTCTGTAAAGAAGACTGTTGGGAATTTGATTGGGGTTGCACTGAATCTAAAGATTGCCTTTGGCAGTATTGACATTTTA